TATCCGGGGTGCTCGAGGCTCTCTCTCTCTCCCTCTTTCTCTCTCAATTCACCTTATGTACCCTTCGCAACGAAATAGAGGGCTTTCCGCTTGCTAGCACACAGTATATACAGCATTCCATCCAACTTGCCTGAGATATCTGCATATCTAGCACGGGATGATGTACCAGTTCAGCGAGGAGAGCGATAAGGTGGTCCCCTTACGATAATCCTCCTGGAGGAGAGATTGAACGATCAATCGAAATGGCAAGGGCTATTCAATCCTTAATAAAGCTCCATCGATGCGCATTAAGACTGCCAAAATGGCCTACCTATCCCACCTCCCATTCCCCAAATATCTCCATCAATTGTTCATTATTAAATTATATGAAATCACCGATTACTGGACAATCGCCAAACCAAATCTAGGTAAGTTTCAAATCGATAGATTTCTCGGAAGGTATGAGTATTAGTAGCTTTGCGTGTTGAGAGTCAGTTAAATTTAATTGGCAATACAATTAGCGCAAGTCGAGCGAAGCCATTGAATTTTACCTCTCAATTCGAGTCAGTTGTTTCAGTCTGACTAATTTAAGGATTAAGAAGCAATTTAAGTTGGAATTCATGAGAAGAAGGTTATTTAATCTGAGGAAAATACTGTTCGGTTAATACTAGTGGAAATTTCTCTCAAGCTAGTATAGAAATGCACCAACCCTTGAATTTAGTGATATACCATCGATTTAGCGAACAATGAAATGGCCGTAAAGCAATATTAGCATTCTCAGGTTTCAAAGTTGGGTGAAATGGTCTTTGCAGAGGCTAGAGAATAGAGGAAAGGTCATACCCGATCACTAACAGCCGTTGTGCAAATGTGCACTCGAGGTATAGAGGAAGATAAGCGCAACCAAAGGTAGGAAGCTATTTCCTGGGTGGACAACTTTTGGCACAAAGGGAAGTCGTTTGAAACATCTGTCGCAGAGCTTTAGGGCGGCAAGTGTACAAGTGAGCAAGTAAGATGAAGATGGCAATGACAATTAATGATGTGTGCTGTTTACTTTCGATGATAATCAACAAAAATCCATTAAATCATGTTCTTTGCAATGATTGAAATCTACCGCACCTAACTGTCAAATGAGCATCAAAAATTTAAAGTGCTAGTATTCTAATATGATTAAGTATCTCTCCGTAAATTTGTCCTACAATGGAATTTTACATGCAAATGGTACTTCCATTACATAACTCGTATATAAGACCTCTTGGAACTACACATTTTCATTCCTGCCGGTGTGCCGCTGTGACACAGAACTCTCAAGTCCCCTCAAATTTACATCTGTTCCACTTTGCTGATTTCCATCCCCCTATTGCGCAAAGTATATATTCAGTAGCTTTTCCCATGTATCTGTATATCCTAGATTTGTAACTGCACAGTTAGTCACCGATGGAAAGATGTATACAATTTATATACTCAAGCACAAGTACATATGCTGAGATTTCGAATATTCTTTAGTGTCCGCTTTTGAAAGAGAATATTTTCCGGTCACTGGAAAAACTCGATGGAATTCGATTGGTATAGTAGTTAGTTTGTTCCCCTCCCCATTGGCTCATGTTCATTCCCGATATCGACGTACGTGTCCCGTGCCACTGGGAAATTGCTGTCTTGGGAAATTTCTGGCCGCCTACCTCTGTACCAACAGGTGAGACATGTTGACGCGGGGATTACTGGATTATGTATGGAGACTGGGATAAACTTTCGGATTTTTAACTGATTATTGATTTGGGTGATTGGTAAAATTTCCCCATTTACTTAGCATTGACAGTTGGATATTTATACCTGTTGCAATAGTCCGATTTATTACACCGAAATCTGCTTTTTATTCATCGAAGCATGTGGAGCTGCGCATTTGAATCAATAATTTCGAAATTACATATGCGGGCGGACCCTTCTTCCCCTCGCATCCCTTCATCAAAATCTACATTCCTCCAGCGTACTTAAATAGTCATCATTAAATTCGTGCCTCTAACGCGTGCATACCCAACGCCTCTATTAATACCCACCCGTTTATGCCCTTAATTGTGTTGGCAATGGAACAAAATAAAATTTAACGTTTAATACTCCCCACACGCATCTCGTCAGCGAATCATTCATTTTCCAACATGATTAATCAGTTTGTTGATCGAGAGACGTCACTGTTTTGGTTACTCGATTGATCTCATCTGTATTTAACTGACATCACTCACTCATGTTTGGAATTTCCGGTGTGAAATTCGATTATCGGTGATGGATGCGGAAAGTTAACTACTTTCCCCATCATCAGAAGAATGAAAACTGCATTCACGTGGTTCAGTAAAAGTGATATCAGGAATGGTTGACAACTTTCGTCGTTGTTGACTCTCTTCTCATCATTTTCGGACCTTTTTATATTTTTATCGCTGTGCGGCGACATCCGAAACAATGTTTTCTAAACCAAGCGAAAATAGCTTAGCGCGAAAATTATGAATTTTGCCGTTACGTGAATTTTTGCAGGATTCTTCCTATTTTTAGCTTATTATTCACTCCAGCTATAGAAGGAAATGGGTCAAGTGTACCAACTATTCATGTGGTCTTACAAGCTCATGCTTCTCAACGGTGAATTCGAAAATGACAAACAATGAAGAATGCACTTCTCTCGTCACCCTATTTCTTTTCATAAAACTGTGATGCCACTCATGATGACAAATATTTCGCCCGGAAAAAAAATACCCAATGCACATTTACATGTATTTTTTCAGCTTGGCATAGTACGATGAATGATTGTGTTAATGATGTGATAAAAGCTAAATTGGATGTAAGCGTCGCCATGAAGGAGAATTGATTGGACAGTACCGATGAATCGATGAGAGAGGAGGGTGACACCGTGGGGTTTATCCACGGTGAATGTTCCCATACACATGTGACATCGAACAGTCGATCCTCATCTCATCGGTCCGCTCCTCGGTCTGTCATGTCTGTCGTGGTGGTTCCCCATGCCAGTCATGTTAATGACACATGACCTGCATCCTGCACATAACAACCAAGTAGAGAGCCCTTATCCATGTACCTCACATGGGCAACGGTTGCATACTTGTCTTCTTCGTGGCCCAGACGTCTGATTTAAAGACTTCAGAGAATTTCTCATTTCTTTGAATGGACAGCGAGCGACGAGAACAGGCTATTTTGTTGAACACTGTCCTACAGATGTGTTGAAATCTCAATGGAAAAATTTCATTCGGTTTAGATGAATTTTTCTCATTATATTAAAAATCTTCTTTTTTTTTTCATTTTATTTCCAATGGTGAACTGTATTAATCATGTCTTGAATGTTTCTGAATGTGGAGGTCACGACGAGATGCCGTTATTTTGGCGTCAGTGGAGAAGCTGGTTGACGACAAACGATGAGGGCCTTCTCTCATTTATGATTTTCAAGTCTCTTGGATATATATATGTAAATGCGTTGGGTGGCCCGACGTACATGGTACGAGTTATGTGTTACAGCCCGCTAGCGGTTATATTATAGGATAGGAGATAGTCCAGTGGCATTTTCCTTGCCTCGCGTCATAAATTCATACAGACTCTCTGTACTCACTTGGAATGCTGTATTCCAATGTTCGTAACCCAGAGAGATATGAATATCTTGACTGTTTGATTGCATTTTCCCTCAAGATTAAATTTCCAACCATTTTATCCAAGTAAAAATTCCGATTTCTCTTATTCCAAAATACATTTTGTAGAATAAATTATCTTAATAATGATAAGAACGCGGAATGATGCTAATTAAATGTATATAAAGGGACTCCTAAGTTAACTTACAAGGATGACCGTCGGTTCACCGTGGTCATTGACCCAGACCTCTTCTACTCTTCAGTTAACGGATACATTTCGCGTTCACTCATAAACGTACTTTTTATGATTTTACGGTGGAGAATTATTGAAAAAAGTTGAAAACACATTTCCAAATCATCATTTCCAATCATTATTTAAAGCCTGATAAGAATGTAATAGAGGTAAGAACAATGGCTTTTGCCACTTGCCATTTTTCAGGAATTCAATCCATTTGGCAAATTCAATTTTCTTGAAAAATGTGGGAGTAAAAAAGGCGTGAGAGAGCAACGGTGCTGTGTATAGAAAAAAAACAATAGGCAACCCGGTGCGATGTCGGAGTCAGATTAAAAGAATTTATCCCCACTGTTACTGAGATGCAACTGTAAAAACTATTCACCAATTTTCTGTCTTTCCTCGAAAAGGAGGTATTACCAGATTATAACCGACTTGACGGATTCTATAGAAAGATTGCGCAATCTGGGTGAATGTAATAGTTAGGTGAATGCTTCCGCACCGACATTCCTGCGTCTTTGCCTTTCATTACTTTTCTTTGTCAAGTTGGGCTCATGTGAAAATATTATTTCTCTATGGATATGCACAGGCTAATACTGATTGACCATTGACATGTATTTTTCGAAGCAGTGCTTACCATAACTAGTCAATACAATAACAAGTTGAAGAAAGGAGTAGAAAGAATGCTTGGAATCCTTCGTCATCTGCTGTTCCAAGAAAAAATATAAAACAAAAAGTAGGAGAATGGAAATTTAGATTATTCATCACGGAATAGAATAGAAGTTAGTCGATCGTTTACCAAGACTATTCCCTATTGTCCCTCACTTTCACCCGACGTCGAACGACCTTGCTCAACAAGAAACGCCCATCGCAATGGATGAAAAAATGTAGGCCAATGTTGAAGACAATTAATGCCCACAGATATATAATTCAAGAGCTTGGACATAAGACTACTGCACATAGACGAAATAACGGAAAATGTGTGGTTGCCGCTGGGGCCGTTGCCGGCTGAGCCCGCCTTCTACCTTCCACCTGTTCCTCATTCTATTCTACATTCTACAATATACACCTCTTGAATGCACACCAAACTTCTCCGATATTTCATAAAATCCCCACATCCCAGGCCACTTTATCTTCTCACCTACTAAGTAACAAATCACATTAGAGGTACTCACATCAATCCTGGATCCCTGCCCATGGTGCTCCACCAATCACACGACAATTCTTTATGCAGCAGTGTATCACTTTGTTTTTATCTATTCAAGTTCACTTGACACTCATTTCACAACTTACGTCTTCAGTTCGTCTCGAAGGAGATGAACCAACGCCCAAGAGCCGCACGTGGATCCTTAACTTACTCAATGATTAAGTCCTTCTTCATTAAATAATTATTAAAAATCACTTGATATGACATTACACTAGCATAATGGAGTTGGACTGGTTGATAACAGGACTCGGCGGGAGCCTGCTAGAATAAAGTAGTAGTTCACCCCAGTATTTTCATATTTGTAAGGAATTTTGTTGTAGCACCCCAGAGTGATAAATGAGCAGATTTATTGCTGGGTTTTTAATTGAAATAGCGTATTTGTAAAAGTGTCGTACTATTGGGAGATGTTGGGGGATGTGGAAGGAGCGAGAATGCAACACAGCATCGGATGCTGGTGAAAGGCAACTGCAGTGTTGTATGTTGTGTGTTGCGACTGCGAGGTGTGAGCGATGGCCGCGCTATGGTAGTGCAGTGGGCGCGAGAGGAGAAGTGGAAAGGAGTGGGAGGGCTGTGACCTGTTGTGAACCTTATGTATGTATATAATATACTATGTAGTGAGCACTGAGCAGCAGTAAGTTGGCCCGTTATCGGTCACCTCTTGTCTAACACACTGCAATTAATCATTCGGTCTTTGTTGGATTCCAGGGACGCCGTTGCCATACATTTCGGCTGGTGTCGCTGAAAGGGCAGAGGGCAGCACAAGACGGTGATTTTTATTTTAGGGGGCTGCCTCAATTATCGACGGTATTTCATTTCATGCTGCAATAATATCTTGACTTTTTTTCCAAGACTAATTGAATTGTAAATATTAATTGTAAAATTTAACTTTATTGTGAAAATGAACTTTTACATATGGCTGGTAATTGTGTTCTTCAATACACGGCTGTTAATCCCAGTCCATTAGTGAATGAAAAATATTAAACTTTATAATCATGTAAAAAAGACAAAAAATGGTAAATAATTGTTCTATAAATTCCAGTACCCTCACCATCCTTTAAGAGAAACATCTCCATTTCACAATGAACTGAATATTAACAGAATATCAAACAAGAACACTTGAGTTTTTTCTTAATGATACTCCTTACCGTTATACAGACAGAAAAAATTATTTGAGTAACGAATATGATGCTTAAGCTATGAAAATCAATGTTCTATACAATTCTTGTTCTGTTTTGTTTTGTTGGTAAAATTTCGTAAATTTTATGATTGGAAAATTTTCTTTTAAATCCCAATTGGGGAGAATGTGGACAAAAAATGAAATAATCGAGTGAAAAAAAGGAAAACAAAGTAAACTGTGAATAAAAATGGCCTGTTTTATCCATTAAATTTATCTTTCCGTCTTCATTTTCATAGTTAACTCGATCTTTCTAAATTGGCAATGACAAAAATAGACTTTGAAAATAGAACGATCGATTTCAAACGCAAATAATGCTCGGTTATCCTCCCATTCTCTCGCTCACACTCACTTATTTATTCTCATTAATTTCATTTATTATTTACTTCTTTATTACAAGTTTCCTCGTCTAGTATTCTCACCCTCAGCTTTGGTGATAAGAAAACCCAGGGATCAAAAATCTCAACTCAATTCTTATAAATTACACTCAAAATGATTAAAAACATCAGAAACTGCAATTTGAAAAACAAAAAAAATCTCACAAAATTTGATTTATTATTGAGGAAATAGATTTTTGCATTAATGGGTCAGCTGACTAAATAACTCAAGCTTCGAAAAAAAAGAGGAGAAAAATGGTGAAATATCGTCAAAAAGTCAATATTACAGATTATTTCCGTATGCGCCATATACTGTTACTTTCGTCCGTTATTTAGTTGTGATTCAAATGCTGCACAAAGTTGAAAAACATAAGACCCCCCCCTCTCATTGCCTATTAATTAAATTATATCAATATTTTAATAACTATATATATCACGCCTATCCCGTTCGCTCTTTTTTGTCGTCCTTTCATTTATCTTCTTCATTTTTTAACGTAGGTACACTCTTGTTTTCATCAACAATCACTCGCGACATTCTTTTATTTTTACTCTCTCATTTTTTTTCAGTGTCATACCCATTACATTTTTTAAATCATTGTCCTGCACCTATGAACGCTTTATTCTTGTATCTTCTCTTTTTTTTTAACTATATACTCCAGATTATGCTGGTTTCTGAGAGCCCTTCTTCCCAATGAGGGATTTATGGATATGTGGAATAACACCTGTAAAAAAGATGACATTGTGCGTTCAATTTGATATCCGTAGAAGAGTAAGTATGTATTTGCAGAATAAAAAATAAGAAAGACATACCTCCTCCAGCAATTGTTGCCTTGATGAGACTGTCAAGCTCCTCGTCACCACGAATGGCTAATTGCAAATGTCTCGGTGTGATACGTTTCACTTTCAAGTCTTTCGATGCGTTACCCGCCAACTCAAGCACCTAGAGTAACATAAAATTATCTATATCTGTAGGATAGGTATTTATTAAAATTTCACCTGTTCTCAACTCTCTGAGGTAGTATTTTTTTTAGAAATTTTTTTTTTTGCACAATCCCTCGTTATAAACATCATTTGGATTTAAATTTTTCTTCTAAATGAAAAAATCATTCAACAACTCTGCATGATGCCATCCCCGTCGAAATTCGGCGGGAATTTCCGCCATATTGTGGCGTCAATACACGCCATCGTAGTAGCCACATACACTGCCAAGCTTTTCTTCTCCACACCCTCAATAACTTGGCATCGTCCCCTCTGTCCCCTTAACCCGCCATAACCCACACCAATATCACATACTCAACCCACCTCAGCAGTAAGGTATTCCAAGATAGCAGCACTATAAACTGCCGCCGTGGCACCCACTCTTCCATGGCTAGTCGTTCTGTTCTTTAGATGCCTGTGGATCCTTCCAACTGGAAACTAAAGAAACAAAAAAAAAATTCATTCCTCAAATGAGCTATTTCTCATCTCTGTAGCGGAAAAAAAATCCAAATAAATAAATAAATCAACTAGCAACATAAAATGATGCATAAACGGATGAATAATCTATAAATTTCATCTGATGCCTGATGACCGATGTTTTTACACGATATACCCTCAAGTAATACTAGCCATAGTGAAAACATGAGTCTCGAAGAAGCGTCAGCAGCTTTCAACAATATCGAACCGCCTCAGCCATCCAATTCCTTGACTCACATATCCTTCCCATTTCAATCATAATTATCCTTCTTATCAAAACTACCCCCAACATCCTTTTGAAAAATGAAAACAACATGGCAAGTAAAACTAGTGTGTCGACCGTTGAAAAAAAATTATCGAGAATTTATTTGGGAATGTCGTCGTGGCCAGACTGCGCACGATATTTCACAAACTCTCGTATCGAACGCTTGGGCTTTACCGAGAGCTTTACAACGTTTACACACGATATTTCATCATTCAACTGGGCTACGCCTATTCCTCAGAAACAATTTGGCCTTTCATTAATTCCCATTAATCCGAATAGTTTCATTAATACCTGTCAATGAGGGGTTAAGATTGCCTGAATACCCACGACAAGGGCCTTATCATTCTCTAAAATATTTCCTATAGGATACTAGCTACATCCCACCTCTCTCTCAAATACTCTAATCAAAAATTGTATAACCCACTGAATAGCCAATTAGCCCCTCGATTAAATCCAAATGTAAACGGTGTACCCCCATAAAAAACCAGCCAGGGAAAATATATAACAACGTGACGAGAGGGAAGGGAGGTAGGGGGCATGTAAACGGTCCGTTCCGATCCCTTGTTTTCAAACACCGTCGGCATCCTCCAACCACTGCCACTGAATTTCCTTCAATTTCGTGATACCTGACTAAAAACCCCCTTAAAACTATTTTCACACTGTAGAAAAACAAAACACATGTACCTCGAACCGTTGAAAAAATCCAAATGCCACGTTAAATATACGAGAAAACAAAATAACGTCGAGCCAACGCTCAAACTATTTTTCGCGCCAACTTCGCCAAACCATTTCTCCACAAGAAATTAACGTAATAGGAAGTAAAAAATATATGAACAGAGTAGATATTCCTTTTGAGAAATAAGTAAAAGGTGAGATGATGTAAAAATACGATAAAATATGATATATACCTGCAAGCCGGCCCTCGCCGAACGTGATACCGCCTTGGCCTTAGCCTTTCCCGAGTCCTTACCAGTTTTACCGCCAGCCTGTTAATATTCACACACAAAAGCAGCATATTAATAATCACTGGTAATACACTAATAAATAATTGGTGGATTGGTCATGTGATGGCTGATGAACGCACGGATAAACTCACCATTATATATCAAAGCTTTGTCGTCCAACGTTTTCAACTACCTACGTTTGGGCTCACAAAACGGTTTGGGGATAAAAAAAAATTATAGGGGAGACGCAGCGCTCACTACTGTTGACTCCAGTATACACTACAGCACGAGTAGACGCCGTGTGGCGTGTGGCGTGTGTCGATTCCATCGCCCCACCGCCACAGAAACCCAAAGCCCGCCAAATACCTCAAATGGCGCTTCGGTCGCCGACCGCCTCCCGCCGCCCATCTCACTTATCACGTGATTCACCACCACATCAATCCTAAATTTATTAAACCCACCATAAACCTTTTCCTGCACTTTATATTTTTTTTTATCTTCCTCTAAATCTCTCCCCCTTTCTTGCACACTAACCATTCACCAGCTAGTCAACTTTTCATAAACAATCGGAAAATCCTTTCTTTCCATTGATTTTTCGAATTAAGATCACTGCTCCGCCATCTCGTGTATACTGGAGGAAAGCGACCAACGCCAGGTACTTGGCCGACAAAGGCTACTAATTAGGAAAGCGCCCTTATTCACTCGATTTTGCATCGTTATTATATGTTTGTACAATCATTTATAATTAATTATAAAAAAATATATATAAAAATAAATAAATAAATATTTCGAGGAAATTTCCAAGGGATTTTAGCACATTCGCTGAAAGTTGTTAATCTGACTATCATATGAAGACATGGAATTGGTTCTCTGGATTAATAAACTTTTATTTTATTTATTCGAGTCTTACTTACATCTATTCCAGTGACAACCCCACAGTCACTCAAAGCTGGTGGGTTTTAGAGGGGTTTATTGATACAATAGAAAAGATAATTTAACCGGTTGAAAATAGGAGTGTTTGATTAAAGTCTGAAGGGTTCCTTGAATATGCTTGGAAGGATTTCGTGAATTTCGTGAATTTCTCGTCTTTAATTTTTCCAATTTTGATACTCCACCGAGTTCCAACATTATTTCTAGTTGATGAAAGCAGGTTAATGTCCATACCTGAAAAATACAGAAGTCAATTTGTAATTAACATTGGAAATTGTACATTACAATTGTTCACTCACTTTTGAAACTCCCACTCACGATTGTCCAGTGGACACACCTGTCGAGTCTTGAGCCAGCGAGAAATGCAGTGGAAATGAAATGCGTGCTAAAATCGAAATCAACAATGGTGTTTTATTAAAGAGGCTTATTCATAATTCGATAGATAAAAAAAAAAATATTCTTGTCGTCAATAGTTAGAAATTGCTCAATTTACAAAATAAATAATGAAAAAATACTCACATTACAGACACCCCAAGCAACAGTGCACTCCTCACTCGTTGCTGACGCCTGATTTGCCTGACACTCGATACATAGATCCATTATATGATTCCTGCAGATAGCACAGTTATCCACGACGATATCTACAATGTAAGTCAATCATTCATACAACTCATTAACAAATTAATTGGCCACTCTCCTCAATCCTCGGTAGAAATTAAAAAATAATTATTTTCCACTCAAAAACTCCATTCATCTTTCATGAGAAATAAAACTGACGTACCCCAAGCCCAAAGAGCCACTGCATTCCACTGAAATAATTAAAAAAAATAATTAAAACCTGATGAACAGAACAAATCACCGAATCAAAACAAAATCATGACAAAGCGAATGCCGAAATTGTTAGGTTATGCTTATCCCCTTGTTAAAAGGTCCCAATTTTTATTAATAATTATCAAGGATATTGAATTGTCCACCAATTATCTCACCTTCTTCACTTCAAATCGTTTTTTATCGCCTTTTCCACTGCTTGAAGTGGGCAGATCGATTTCCTCATCGTCAATGTCCATTCCTGAAGCCATCTTAAATTTTAGTTCAAGGCAAATACTCAATGGTGTGGAGATTTGAGGTTTGAGACTAAAATTTCCCGAGTTACACCAGTAGATTGAGTCAAGGGAACAAAAAATCCCAAGTCCGTTAAATTATGTGACGGTTCGAAAATGCACGTTATGAATATCGTGAATTTAAATAATAAGAACGAAATTAATTTGAAAAGCCTTTTTCTGTACGTTCCATAACGGGTAATAAGTTTATTCAATCAGTCGCCCGCTCTCAAAATTTCGATGAATTTCGATTTTTTTCTGCTCTAGTCTCACCTATTTTCCAAAACGAATAACGATAATGGGACCAATTAATAATAATAATAACAAATGAAGTACATGAATATTTAGATAATGTTTGAATTTATTATTAAACGTATCTACATAATACAAACCAGAAGGACAACACAATTTCAATAGGTATTTCCATAATATTTTTTGTAATAAATATTCCATGTATTGTATATTAAATATCGGTGTAAATATGCGCGTATATACCTACATAATTTTTGTATATATAGGTTTATAGCGGATATTTAAGCGTCAACTTCAATATATTAAGGATATCAAGGCATCAAACACTTGCGGTCTGTTTTGTCAACAAAAGTATCGCGAGTGTTTACTGTCCATTTTTTATCGATTGATGATTTTGCGTCGAGTCATAATAATTTTTCTCTTCTTAGTTCTCTTCTTATCATTCATTAAAACACAGACTACCACATCGTTGATTGCTGATTCAAGCCTGTCCAGGGCATTTTTCGAAATTGTGTTTTTACATTTCGGGAGTCATTTAAACAAGACATCTTCATTGACTTACACTTGTTTGGAGATTGTTTGATCATTAGTTTCACTCGGAGTTATGATTGGAGAAATTTAAATTAATACGTCCTGGAACAGTGACACTAGGTACGCTGGGAATTCACTTGACAATTATTTTTCATGGGAAATCTCAAGAAGTAACAAGAGATCGGTTTTGGGTTTTAATATATCAATGAGGTAAAACCTGGAATTATCTCGGTAGGGAATGATTCTGCGAGGCAATATGACAAGACTTTTTTTGTCGAGAATTTACTTAGCTACAAAAAAAGTTATTTTCAATATTCCCGTATAATCACGCGTTATTAAGATAATCATATAATTGCCATCATTAATTTTCCAACAAATGAGGAAGACGTGAGAAAATCGGTAAAATTTTTCAATCGTAGATATCTCAAAATGGGCCACATCAATTCCAACGAATGGCTCTCATTGAGAACTCATTTAGGAAGAGTACTTTAAAATGAGATCTCATTCATTAAAATCGGATGATGCAGTCAGGAGATAATGACGATTTAACGTTCATCTCACGACTCTCCCTCGCAAACCTAAAACCCACCTCATTCACGAAATTTCCCTTATGATTATTATCATCATTCTCATACCTCACTTCACATATTAAGAATATATATCTAGGTACATTGTCGGTGAGGTACTCACGTCTGCAACCATCGGATTGAATTCGACAACGAATGTATTTAATGAATTCACATATAAGTGCTGATTCACTTACAATCAATTGGCGGTTTCAGTTGGATATCACATTTTATTATTATCGCTCCTTGCCACACGTTGAATAAACAAAATCAATGAACCATGGGCGAACAAAAAAATAGTCAAAAGTGGTTGAGCAAGACGAGTATTCAATGTGCATTATAGTAACATTCCACGAATTCAGTCCAATTGATTTCTGACTCCAGTACATCACTTTCTAATTCTCATTCTCAATATAGTCCTAATTTTTCACCTATTATTATTCCATTATTTACGCAGTATCGTATAGCTTTACCCAGTGACAGCAACAATCAAGCATGCAAAATCATACAATTACCTAACGAAATAATCCATTACATTATTTTCAATAATATTTTTTTTTTCATTTACTTGAAAAAATCTCTGGTCTCTCTGAATAGATAAATAACTTCTCGATTGTTATCAGTTTTGTTTCCACCCTTGATTATTTACAATTTTTATTCTCTTCGACTCTTCGTATTGTGTAAAAGACATTCAAATCCTTATAGTCATTTTTTCCACAAAATAATTCATCCTCACGGTTTCAGACTTCATTTTATTGATTCCCATGAAAAAATTTTTATTATAGCCATGCGCTGGGGGCAAATTATAATCGAAATTTAATATAAATAATCGAACAGACAATTAACGATCACAAAGTGTGAATGATCAGCTCTAGGTTCATCTCCTATTTGGATTTATAATAGCGTTTTGTAATAATAACTACGCATTAAGTAAAATAGATTTTTGTATTCTGCATCAAATGTCTCGTGTCACACTTACAGTCAATGGAATGATTCGTCGTCGTTATAAAATTATCCATCACTAGTTATTGGATCTATTTTCCATTTTTTTATTTTTCTCTCGGTGGTGGTAGTTATGGCACAAATGGTCAGCTCAGTTATCATCTGATATAGTCCTGGAGTTGTGTGTGGCAATTGATGATTAATCAGAAAATTGCGTATGCAAACACTCGTGAATCGTCCTCTAAGATCTATTTCTTTGGAATACGGTTGTAATAATTTTTTTCACCAATTTATTATTTTTTTTCGTTATTCGATTTTCTGCTAGGCTATAAACTCTGAATGTGAGGGAGATAATTAAATTTTTGCAAAGAATTTTTTTTGCTACGCTCATCGTACTCTACAAAAGATAAAAATTTCACTGTCTCTCTTACATTCAGAGATATTCTAATCTCTCTTCGCTACTGAAATATTGAGATAATATAATGGGTCGACATTTTTGGTTTATTAAAAAATATCTTGTTGACAACTTCAATGGAAATTCCACAATTATACATTTTTAACAGGATGGAGGCTTCTTCGTGTCTTCCCCCAGGTCAGGATCGAAACCAAGAGCACCAGGTATTTTTTTTTCAAATTCATTGACATCTCGAATGGATAAAACTTTTTTATTTGAAGTTCTTTATTAGTGTATTGTCCAAACAATTTCGCCTCCTCATCAAAATGCTAATAAATGCCAATTGAAACGGCTGCACCATTGCCTCGAATCATGAAATATGGCAGTTTCACGTTTTTTTTTTAGCCACGGTAATTAACTACGTAATTATTTCAAGAATTTTCACAGCACACGAACGACATGCGATTTTATAAATTTTCCTAATTTTTATCTCATGAGATTCATTTTTCCTGTTATACTAGTTAAAATTTCATTAGTCAAGAACTATAATTGAATGACAGGAGGAGCTCAGCGAAATCTGTCTTAAATTATGCAGGAAAAATCATGCAATCATCACAATAATTCAATGACAAAGTAGTAAAAATCAATGTTAATTGGCATTTTACAACTTCACAGTTAATTCATCGAATTTAGTTCTTGAGTTTGTGCGTTAAAAATGCGAAAAAGAATGCTCGTAAAAGCTCATATATAATCTGCACATTTCACTAATAACAAAATTATATTCTTTATTAAAACCTCACTTTTTGTGCTACGAATGCATTTGTATAAAACAATACGAAATCAGTGCGACGATATAATAAAAATAATACATTTTCTTTTCATAATTGAAGACAATGACAAGACACTTAGTTAAACTATAGTATCATTACGTTCTTTACCATAATTAATGTCACGTTTTATTAAAGTTCAGCATCATCCATGAGATTCCATAATTGCAATGAAAAATATCTAGGTTCAATTATAGTTATTGAGTAAAAAATCGAACGAGATTACCATTATTTCAGCAAATATCTTTGGTATCGTAGCACTGTCATTAAATGCATTCACCTTAATCAATTAATTTAATAACAAATCCGAGAATGAACAATTAATCAGCAATAATAGAAAATACTTATTCATTACTTCGATCGAAAAACTAATGGAAAAGAAAAACAAATGCAGTTAAATTATGCGAATTGTAAACAAAGTGGTCCAGTTCGAAGATTATTAACTCCTAATTTTTCACAGTTAATTTTCTTACGTCTCCTTACGAAGTCTCGACACTCATTCTTTACGACACTTAAACGTTACGTTGAGAAAATAATTTTTTTTCCATTTTTCTTTTCTTATAATATTCAAGCAAAAATTGTTGGATTTGTCACTTAATTACTCCACATCATGAACTTTTTAACGAATCCAGTATCTTCATATTATCAATCCAATTGTTACAGTAACTTACAGAATAACATATTTTCACTGGTAATTAAAAAAAAAAACGAGACAATTTTTATTGAACTATCACCCTTCATCCACGCAATATCTCTTTGTCATGGATTTTTCATCACATTGAATCAATACTTCTTTTTATTTCTAATTACATTAACCAAAAAAAAAAAAACATGATGAGTTTGTTTTCACAGCGTAAAATTTTTCATATCTCAAATTCTCTCTTTCTACATTTCAGTTTCCTCGAAATTCCACAGAAATTTCCCAATTCATGTGATTAGCCGAGGACTGTGTAATCCTTCGACCTGAGTATCAATTGGTGGACAGTGCTGAGTGTCTGGTGGACCCCAATCATGTAAGTTTCCACTATTTGCTAATCTGTGCGTCAAACGATGGGCTATGGAAAAGCCACCGCTCCCTTCGAGTTGTGTCAACACAATTATAACTTGTCTGAAAGATAAATGACGAAGTCAGATCCATCTGGGCAGTAGCAATTGAAATCAATCCATAACCTCTTTCCCTAAATGGCAGAGATAGAAATCAAAATAAAAAATAGTCATACCGATGCAACGGTGGAACACTATCGGCAGTGCGCAATTGACCCCTCGTGGAAACGACATTGTAACTCTCGTGACAATCGCATTTAACGTGAATCCATTTATTGACGTGACGATTCTCAACCATCACAACTAACCCTGCCCATCCTTTGGTCAAATAGTAGGCTGTCATGCCCTCTCTTCCCTGCGAAGAATAAACAACAATCGTGGGCTCTTAGATAATACGATAATATTAATTCCGAGATAAATATCCATCGTATTGCTGGCGTAAGCTCAATTCATAGTCAGCCCCTTTCAGTTAATCTCTAGGCCCCCATAGACAAGCGTTTACAAGGGTTAATAGTGGGTCAATAGAAATGGACTGACGATCGACGTGGGGTCTTTTACTCCGCACCAAGATTCCGTCCAATTGACGTTTGAGAAGTTTTCCGTTTCCATCACTCCAGAAATTATCAGGAGATTCAATTGACGAAGAACTCGTGGTATTCGTCGATTATTTCGCTGACATAACATTAGACTATTCTAAAAATTGATAGCCCGAGAATAGTTAATGAATAAATCGTGACTCACCTCGTGACGCTGTCCCTTCGCCAATGTGAGACTGATGATAGCATCAGCTAGAACAAAAGCAGGTGGAGATATCTGCTCGACGAGCAATCGCTTCGAGCTGTGAATAGCCAAAACGTATTCAGGATAACTGGAGGTGTCCTCCATGCCCGTGTGCCAGTGGTTAAATGCCAGGCAAACGACAATATACAAATCCCTTTCAAGCATTTTGTGACAGCCAACAAATCCCCTAACTTGTCGCTTACTGTGCTCCACCAGTCGTCCAACCTCGGGTGCAGCTGGTGATCTAGTTCTGAATACAACGACACATAGATCAAGCTGAGATCGCTGTGATTTCTCCGAGTTCCTCTGGCCTTCTTGAAACAGAGTGAATTCAGTCTCAGTTGGTTCTAGAACAGTCAGAAGAACACAGGACAGATGTCTCAAGGAGGATAAAGGCGGAAGAGTCCCTCGAAGCCTGACCTCACTCCAGCCCACCCTAGTCTTGCAGATGTCGATGCAGTCGAAGTACTTGAGTACATCGTCAAAAGATATCCAGAAGACCCCGTCAGAGGCACCATGTGGCATCAGCATTTCTCTGAGTTGTGGTGTCCAGATGGGACTGTCATCCGACCAGTCACCCTTCCAGCTGTAGTGGCCCCACGGATTTCTCAGCCTGAGCAATCTAATTCCTTGAACATCGCGCACATCGAGCACTGAGTAGGCGTGCCTAGGTCTCAGACCTTTTCTCTGATACTCCTCTTCGTCGACCTTCATGTTGCCACCACCACAGCTAGCACCCATGAGGAACATTGCTTGTCGAGAGGAGAGGAGTTGTGCCCAAATGAGATCCTTATCGAGTTCATCCTCGCTAGGCAGTGCTGAGGGTTGTAAAGGCACACTTTCACAAGGGGCACCGGTCAAAGTGGCGAGACCCTCGATGGCTCGACCCGATACAAGAGCTTCATAGCATCCATGGATCTTGGCAACAGCTTTCTCGATGAGGGGCACCCAAAGCTGTTTTCTCTTTGCTTGTGAGTAGACGAGATGGCCCCTCTTGTCACACGGAAGTAGATCATCTACAAGAACAGTCGTCCATTTCCCATCCTTGCACAGTCTGACCTGATAGGCTCCCTCTGGACACGTTTCCCTCATTACTAAAACCCTCTTGACAAGCTCGTCGCTCTCAGCAAGAACAGCAAGTGCTGACAGCAACCAGCAATTACCAAGAACACCCTGCGATATGTCCGATGGCAATGGCGTTCTGAAGACCGCCCAAGGCAGTTTTGAATCTACACTAGAGTCGACATTAATCTGGTGTGGTCTTCTCCATTGAACTACGTGGTTATCTTTCGTATCGGCAGGGTTATAATACAGTGATTTAGGCGCTGGTGGAAATGAATCATCGACAAATGGTTCATTTGTTTCCTTGCAGTAACGCACTATTCTCTCCCACTTTTCCAATGCCTCTCGCTCCTCAATGTGCCTGAGATTCTCCATTACGACACTCTCCTGTCTTTGAATTCGGAGGGTACAAGCTCCCGGCTCACTGAGTCTCAGTCTGTCACCAGGTGTTTGGGACAGTGCTTTTGAGCTCTGGCACATCTCACAGGTGCCATTGGTGCTTTTATTCTCATAGGTGCAGAGCTTGCACTGCCACTGGCTCTGACCTGGCTCTTTCATTCTCGTGTGTCTCTTATCACCGAGTGATGCTGGTCCATTTCGTCTCACTGAATTTCTACTGTGTCTTGGTGTTGCAACTTTGACATTACTACTCATGCCACCAGTTAATCTTGGACTTGAGCTGCGCTGTCCTGATGGTGTTCGATTGTCTCGCGGTACCTCCAAAAAATCAGCCATTGTCTTGCAAGCATTGCAATTCTGGGCAGTAAGGGGATTTCTAAGGGTGCACGATGGACAAACCCAGCTCTCACCTTTTCTCAATGTTGGATCCTCAAGGTGTGATACACTCCTTAATTTTGAACCTCCACATGCTTCGCATGTTGTTCTCGTGGATGGATTCAATAGAGTGCATTTTCTGCACGTCCATGCTGGTGTCGATACCTCAATCTGATCATCGAGATCTGACTCGGCTGTTGCCAGTGTTGCTCTTGGTATGTACCTAACACTGTCCCTTGACACAACAATTGGTGATTGAACTTTACCGCGCGCACTGACACCGTCTTTGGTAACAGTTATCAAACTCGGTTGCAGCAATGACGGTGGTGTTCTCAGTGAGCTGCATATATCGCAGCCTGTTGACCACAGTGGATTGTAAGCGTATGAACACTTTCTACATGTCCACATGCGTTTAAGAGGACTAGTACCGGGTGTATCAACAGGACTTGTTGATTCACTGTGTGCACGTGTTACATTTAGTGCCAATTTACTGCTCTGCTTCTTCGGCAATGGTGGTGGAGTATCGGGGTCACTGATACCGATGTACGAGTACTTAGGCCTAGAATTAAAGCCAACGGAGTGAGGCGGCACAGCTGGTGGCTCATTATCATTCAAACTGCGTCGATTGACTGATTTCTTCTGCATCGAGCTACCAACATTTTCGACCTCTGAGAACGAACGTCTATATGACAATGGTCCAGCTGATGACAGTGGACGTGGCTCCCAGGATGGTACACTTATAACAACACCACTGCATGGAGCTGGACTTCTTGGCGCTTCACATGCCTCGCACTGCTCCAATTCAGGTGGATTGTCAAGTGTGCAATTATCACAGCTCCATAGTGTGTCATCTGTACTGTTGTGAGACTCGGAGACAATGAGGCTTGTTGGTCTCTGTATATCGTGGCTATCACTACTTAGTTTTTGGACAACTGAGCCGTTTGACAGGGATCGACTTACTTTGGATTTGACCCGTTCGTACACAGATGGACTGTGACGTTTTGGTGAGCGTTGAGATGAATCTGATGTTGTATCACCGAATGATAATACATCGGGCTCCATGCTATCAATTTGAACCAATTGCCAGTCTTCACGGTGTGTTTGTACTCTATCACCACGTGTTAAACCACTCAGTTGTGCCATACCAAGGTCTCTATCTAAAACAGCTGTTGAGCCGATATTGCCACAGCCAATGTCAAGTACGCGTGACACTAGGCCAGATGCCACTGTTGAAACTAAATCAAGCTTGGGCTCCTGCTTGTTGCTAAGTTTTAGGGCTTTCAATCTTTTACCACGTCTCACACCTATCAAATTACCATTTGTTTGGGCTATTGTCGAGCTTGCACCGCAAGCTGTACATACGGGTGTTGCACTGCAGCAGTTTGTTTGTAGGCAACGGATGCAAGTCCATCGGGTTACTAGCAATGGTAGGGAGGGTGATCTCTTTGGGCAATTACGCTTGGTTGATGCACCAGACCATGAGCCGCGACGGTGACATTTTTCACGATGGCTTGATGAAACTCCTTCATTTAGCTTTGCACTGAAAAATCCGGTACAGTTTTTTTTTTATAGTATTTAACAATTATTCGGTTGTTAATGTGTAACGGGACTGTGGGGCTCCGGGCTTTCTAAGGTGGATCGCTTTCTGGGCTTGACAGTGTCTCCAGGCGATCCATTATGATATTTTGTCGGGCGTTTTCAAGGGAATGGACAAATTAATGGTCAACTTTCTACTTCAGACAATTAAAGGCGTGAAGTTGTTCCGCAAACTTCTCATTGGAATTCTCGTCTCGACCAAATTTCACAGTATGTCGTAAACATCATTGACAGGATTAATTTTTTTTAATGAAAAATGGTGTTCAACACTCGTTCGTTGTGCGTTAATGATTAAATTTTTTTAGAACGAATGACAAATGCCCAAGCCAGTGTGACCGATAACTTCGCCCATCAAATAAATGAGTTTCTCGGTTGTAAAAGTAATGCAGAGTAAAAAAAGGGCGAGAGTGCCATTTCGAGCTGGCCACCCGAAACAATGTAAAAGAAATTACCCAGAAACAGGAAAGGTAGTGCGCTCGTTGCTCTGCGTGTCGACAGTATCAATAGTATGAAAATAAACATAATCCCTTGGTGTTGGCTGATCATTTGAGCTCTGTCTCGGTGGTGGGGTTGGTGGTTGTGAGTCCGGCGTTGACGATGACGATGTGCTGGACGGTGAACCATCAGTCTGCGTTATGCTAACACAACTCGTGCATACAATTGTTTTAATATCATTGACATTGTTAACGCTATTGCTATTGATATTGTTCACAAATTGATCGCAGGCATCGCAACGCATTGCCGTTTTATCATTCTTGTTGACGGCATGCATGGCCATAATATGAGTGTATTTCTGATCATTGCACCAAGTAAATTGATCATATGCATCACGGGTATGAGTGTCCCGTGTGCTTGGCCTCTTTGGCCTGGCCCCTTCCTGTTTACCCGCCACCCTCGACAGATTATTTTGAGTCAGTGCTGTCGACAGTTCCACTTGTAGCGGCCTGTCGACCGCATACTTCTCACCATCTTTGTCAATAGTATTACACGCTTCAACGTCATATGATCGTGAGCAGCCATCTTGCTCCAGGGCACGAGGAAACAAAATTTAATACCCGTTCTACCACTAATACCCCAGATTACCCCTCACCGCACGTTACCCTCTTACTAAAACTAATGATTATTATTCATCAATACCAATTACTCAATGGTCAATATCTTCCAACTTATCGTACCTCCTGTACTTGATTTTATATCGTATTGCCACAGTCAATTTGTATAATTACTTGATCGATTTATTGAAAACAGGGGCATTATCACACACCACTTGCTTTCAGAACACTTTTGTCTAGGTGATACTTGAGATTATTCTTTAGATTATTTTATTTTTTATGTCAGATTTTGTTTGTATTTATTTATTATTGCCACCTAGTTTCTTCGTTGCGATGCCGTTGTGTTGACTACGCGAATGTAATACACAGGGACGTATCAAAGGCACGTGAATATTTGGCGCTGTCGTCGAGGGGCGAAACACTGCCCGCCAAAAAAATTGTCATCGCCATCATTGGGAAATCCTTTGATTATCATTTTTTTCACGGTGAAATTTTGTTTGGTCGGGGTGCGTTAGGGAAACTGGGGGATGTCTCCAGTCAGACCAAATGGTCTTCTGATTGTTGTCCTAGCAGTGTTACTGCTGATGGTATTGTGGAAGCTGTCGCCATCTGGATTTGTTGGAATTTTTAGTGTCTCAGCTTGTGTAGCGATTGCTACACAGCTCGAACATCTTGTCCCTGTGGCGCAGAGGATAGCGCGTTGGACTTCTAATCCAAAGGTCGTGGGTTCGATCCCCACCAGGGATGTTTCTCATGGGGAAGCTCAACTTCTTCCATTTTTTTATTCGCAATTATCATTTTCGGAAGTGGTTGTACTAATTGTACAGCCAATAATATCGTGACGAATATTCAGTCATTTGCGTTTTTATATATAAGGATATTACGATTTTGAATAACAATTTTCGAGATTGCCTGAAGGATCTTTGAAATTTGAATCCCCAATTCACTCATTGCGAGCAACATTATTTTTCTTGTTTTCCTTCGTGATATTTTCCCATTTTCAATGCGTGCTGTATTGACTTAATTTTATTTCTATACAATCGGTACATTCAGAAGTGATTATCGGATTCGCGAATGGCGCTCCATAAAAAATATCCTCCAACTCTGCGTAAATAGGAATATATTGATAACTGCTGTGATTTTCCCACCGAACTGGTGACACTTCCAACGGAAAACTCGACTGTTTGCAGCATCTGGAAAAACGGTCTCCTTACGTAAATGATGTAATTAAGTTCGTTACAGGCAATTAAGGGAATGAAAAAATGAAAAAATCAAAACGAAAATAAGATAAAATGTGTGGGAGCCACGTGAGGATGATTGGCGATAGCCATTGCAATAAATAAAGCTAATGAAAGCGGGTTTTTCTGAGAAATCGAGGGCCGGTTTTCGTCACGCGGTTTTATTAATTGATTGAGCGTTCCTATTTCAATGGACAAATATTGTAAGTGCCTGTGAACTCTCAACACTGATCTAGTTTTTAACTCTTCAAGTACTTGCTGTCGTTTTATTGCTCATCCCTTCTGGCGTTACCGAGATTGCAATGATCTATTGCAATTGACTCATTACAGTTTTCCAGTCACTGGTGGAAATTTTTCAATGATAAATATAAAGTCGTTTCAAGTGCATTAGTGTTTATCGCTGTTTCCGTATTCACGAGATGGAAACTCGATGTAACGAGAGATTGTATTTCCCAGTTCTGTTTTATTTCATTGTTATGAAACATTGAACTTTGATTTTGAATGGGTGAAATGCGTGATTACCGATTGATCGTAACGTCTGAAAATTCAACTTTCTCTTGTGATCGAGGATAAATATTTATTGTTATATAATTATGGGGATTCGTATCCGAAATCACAACTATTTTCATTTCTTCGGTGTAAAAATATTAAAAATTTTAATAATATTTGGAATGGAAACGGGGGCTGAAATAAATTCTTTGCAATTTTCTCGGATATTTTTTTCCGTGCGAATTCCAAAGTCACGCGACGATGAAAACTCAGCAGTAAATTTTTCCGATGTGTCTTTGGAGGTTTTTCATATGCATATTCCACCTACACATTACTAAGAGTCACCACTGAATAAAGAATCGGTTTATTTTCGAGATGGAAAAGTGGAACACTGGCTCGCGCGATCTCGTTTGAAAGAAGAAAAGAGGTGCGACCTAAAATTAGGGTGATGTTTACACAAGCTTTGACGACCACTTCAAGGAATCATCATCATCGTAAATTATCATGATCCCGGAAAAATATCTTCATTTTGCCGGAATAAACCAGAATAATTGTGGATTCGCGCGAAAGATTCACTGAGATCTAGCAAGAAAGAACTTTCAAAATTACTGTTCGAGCTGTACGTCAAGCAAAATTATTTCTTCGAAACAAAACAACTTTTTAAGCTTCTCTTATCGTAGTTGTATTGCATTCTGGTTATGATTTTCCATACATTATCATTTTTCACGATTTTTAAGAATTTCTGCGAAGCGGTTGGAAAAATTGACGCGAAAAGCACACAACTTGGAAGTTTTATTATTATTTAATGTCTCACGAAGTTTCATGATCCTGGAAGAATTTTCGTACGTCCCCCGTAAACTTTTGCAAAAATTCATAAAACTGATTTAAATCTGTGAGTTGGTGAATAATAATAAAATCAAAAAATGTATATTTTTTCCGTCAATCTGACCGAGAGTTTCCCAGAAATTTACAAAAAAAAAAACATGAAAAATGAGAAAATATGGGCACTGAGTGCTCAATGGCGGTACGAAATCCCACGATTTAATGGACATCCATTAAAATCAGCAATGACGCAATTGACGTTGAAACCCGAGGGGTATAAACTGGCATAAGCCAGAGGCATTGAGAGAGGTTGTGCTCGCCAATCACGTGGGGTATTTCTCGTGTCTGGTGTTATTGGATAGAGGCCAATACGTCATTCCTCGGAAACATCGGTCCACACACACTGGCCAGATCAGCACGGATCAGACCAGACTGTTTGGCGTCATGATGTGCATGAATTAACATTACGAGTTACCTTGTTATTATCGAGACTGATAGTACTTATCTCGACTGATCCTTTGCAAAAATTATTCACCTCACGGCATTATGTAATACACATGCATGATTCATTCGTTGTTTGTCATTTTGAGCGTCATACCATCTTGTTTTTTGACATTGATCCTACAATTTTGGCAATCCAATTATCTACCCCTTCATTAATTAATCATTGATTAATTCGCTTGCGTTTTAATTCCAGCAAAACTTGGAAATTTCAAGATTGCGGGAATTATCAAGTGGGCGTCAAGGAATTTCGTCATTGAAAATTTAAAATTGCGTGAAAAAAATGGCTCGATTGATAGTTATCGAAAAAAATGGATCATTTAGAAAAATGAAAAGGAAAAATAGTGATGAATAAAAAGTTGAAGTAATTCCTCTCGAAATTCCCAATTTCGTGATATTTTTCGGTGAAATCCAATTCAATGGTTTCACCCAGGGAATGACAAGTGAAATGCTCATGAAATTTCACTTTTTCTTTCCACCAAAATTGGAGATTGGGAAACCACTGGGATATCATTAAATTCGCCCGAATCTGCCTCGACGATTACTAATACCTCGAAACAAAAACGAATGTTAAATTTTCACTGGTACGTGATGAACACTGGCTTCTTTTTAACCCAATTTCCAAGAAATCTTGGCAACAGTCCCACCTTTCGATCTAACTGGGAAATTTCACTTTGTCACGGACAAAGAACTTCCCAAAAAACTTGCAAACTCAATCATTTATTCGAGTTAGCTTTCACACCAAGTTATTTCCGTTCACGGACGTCAATATCATCGGTGCAATTTACCGAAAAGCCACTATGGGATAATAATGAGTATATAGTACAATAAATTATCATTTGTTTTTGCAAGCAGTGGCGCAAAAGCGTCAGAGAGTTTATGCGGCTCGTGGCATAACAAACATAATAGTAATATCAACCTTGGATTTTAGAGAGTATAAATCCGAGTATTTCTTTTTCTCTGTTCAATGACTTATTGAGTAATGCCAATTCTCAGCTGGCAATAATGAAAATTAATTAGCTTCTACGAATCAGAGACGTGAATAAATATTTGTTCCATTACCCCACGGAAAACTCTTTCAAAAAATAAAACCCATTAAATATTCTTCGATATCCTAATCAATCCATTCTGTAATCAACGATTATTGATAACTGAATTTAATTAATTACATTACATTAATGGAACATTTGATCTACGAGGGAATCTAGACCCGAGGGAATAATAAAAAAAATAATGAGACTAGCTAATTGAGAATCTTCGGACATCCATGAATTTTCATGGAATAATCGGACTCTAGCCCCGTGAATTTTCTTATCTGGTCGTAAATTTACAACTGCGATAGTCTCTTATTAAAAATTTTCAACGCGCGCGTTGTAAATTTTAGTGTAGCCGACGATAAAACGATATAAAGCTGTGAGACGCCGGCTAAGGATTTGCCAGCAATGGAATCTAGTTCATTTACTTCTTACTGGAGGAAATAAAGAAAAAAAAATGAGAAGCTTTATATGTTGGGGGTCATCGGACGCTCCGGCGAGGCCTATGGCCCAGAAATTCTTCGGAGCATTCGAGCCAGTGTCCACCAGACTGGAATAAAAAAAAAATATAGTGTCGGATTATACTGGTATATCGCGGCGCTATCACTAGACTAACCGGACTACATTATGTTATTGGAAATTATTGCGATAAGAGAATCGCCGGGTCAATCACCGGCTCCGAGGCGCTCCTTTTGCTGTTCGTGATAAACTGTCGGTTAAATGTACGTAAAATCACAAAATTTTCATCGATTCCACAGAAAATTGAGGTGCCAGGTGATGAAATTAGATTGATTGAACTTCCCGTTTTTTTTATATTGATTTACGAAGAAAATGATTTTTGTATAGCTTATTCAATCCGTGATTAACCGAATTATTTAATGGATATAATCGCCATTGCAATTCCTTGCAAAATTATGTCAATGAATTTCCCTTTTCGCGGAGAGCGACAATAAATATTGTTGGCAGCGATTCCTAAAAATCGCGCCGAAAATTATTAACAGTTCGGATTATTCCCGAATACTGAAAGTTCTTGGCGAAATTCTGAGACGATTCTCTTTTCGTCGATTCCCTCGCAGATGTGCGAATCCAACACATGGCGACTTATTAATACCCCAGAGGGGGACCTCTTGACATTTTGTCATTTAGATTCACCTATAGGTGAGATCCCTTTGATCACTATGCACTCTTCTGTATTAAAACCAAACGCAATATTTTTAGAGCCGTGATATTTTTGTTATTAACATTCCAGCCGAACAAATCGCTTATTTATACGCGAAAGATAGCGCTCGTTTC